AGGAATAGCTCTTCGGCGGTTTGCGGCTTCTGCAGTGCCGAGGGGTCTGCGAGCAAAAGATTCGCGCGCCAGTTTGCCTGTGCGGTTCTGCGAGCAGGAGAGTCGCGAGGACAAAGGAATCGCGCGACGCAATGAACAACGACCATTCGAGTGGCAAGTTCGCGACCAAAGCAGGCGAGCGGCGGAGGAGCAGAATTTGAAGGGCGGACGCGAAAAAGAAAGTTTGCGGGAAAGGAAATTCAATGCCGACATATTCCGGAGATGTTCCAGGATGTGGAAAAGGGGGAATCTGTTGCTGCACTCAGAAAAGGAAAGCTAGAGGCTGCCCTATTGAAAGGAAATCGATATTCACCTTTTTGAGATATTCCAGGTTCCAGGAAATGGAATTGCATGCGCAGGTTCCAGAATTGCAGGAGCTTTTTTAGAAGACGTAGCTTTTCTGGAAGGAGCTTTTCTAGAAAGCGGAGGCGGAGCTTTTCTGGAAGGAAAGAGAAGCTCTTCTCGGACGTTAAGAAAAATGATTTCTGGGAAAGTTTAATTAAGGGAAGCATTTTTCTTGGAAATTTAATTAAGGGAAATTTTTTTTTCTTGGAAACTTAATTAAGGGAAATTTTTTTTCTTAGAAACTTAATTAAGGGATTATTTAAAGGGTCCAACCCGCATTGGTGCATAAAAAACTCCATGATATATTTCTCCTAAGGGGCTGGATATTCGCTAAGGTGGAGACTTGTTGAGTATATGCATTTCTCCTAGGGGTTGGATATTCGCCAAGGTGGAGATTTGTCTGACTCATAATACCAGAATTTGGAGTCTCTTAATACTAGAATTTAGAGTCTCATAATAACAGAATTTAGAATGTCATAATACCTAAGGGGCTGGATATTCGCCAAGGTGGAGATTTGTTGGGTATATGCATTTCTCCTAAAGAAATTGGATATTCAGCAAAGTGAAGATTTGTTAGGTATGACTCATAATACCAGAATTTGGAGTCTCTTGGAATGAAGAGATATCTCTTGGAATTGAAGTGTTGTGTCTCTTGAAATTTAGTGGGTTGGGGGATCAGCGAGAGCGAAGCTGGAGCGGGTGGCCCAACGTGGCCCAACCCACATTGGTGCATAAGAAACTTCATGATGTATTTTCTTCTAAGGGGTCGGATATTCGCCAAGGTGATGATTTTTTAGGCATATGTATTTCTCCCAAGGGGCTGGATATTCGCCAAGGTGGAGATATGTATTTCTCCTAAGGGGTTGTATATCGCCAAAGTGGAGATATGTATTTCTTCTAAGAAACTGGATATTCGTCAAGGTGAAGATTTATTGGGCATATGTATTTCTTCTAAGGGATTGGATATTCGTCAAGGTGGAGATATACATTTCTCCTAAGGGGTTGTATATTCGCCAAGGTGGAGATATGTATTTCTCCTAAGGGGTTGGATATTTGTCAAGGTGGAGATTTGTTGGGCATATATATTTCTCCTAACTGGATATCTCCTAAGGGACTGGATATTCGCCAAGGTAGAGATTTGTTAGATATGACTCATATACTATAAATGAGACAGATGTTGGAGCGTAGCGGAGCCCACGAACGGAGTGAAGCGGAAGGATCTGTCCAATCGGGAAAATTTTATTATGTGGGTTGGGGGTGCGAGGGCAACACCGCACGATTTGGTACAGGGGTAATTTAAATAATTACATATTGTACTATAGAGTTATATATATGTCCTATTTGTAACTCTATGTGAGTTGAATCTTGTATTATGTATTTTTTCTGAATATTAAAAATGAAGTCGTCGCTCTACTCCCGATGATGTAGGCATTTTTGCCGAACCTCGTATATCTTTGTGTGCTTCTGGATTTGTGTAGATTTTTATTTTTCTTCGCCTTAAATTTCTCAACATATATATACTTGGGAATCACAATTTCCATTGATTCTATTGGATTCGAAGATGTTGCAACAGCTCGACATACTTAATCACAAACTTCACAAACATAATACCTACATTAAATCATGATTCATTAAACATGAAATCTACAACATGAACAGTTGACAATGTCGTCATGATAATCCTATCGTAGAGATTAGGAAGTAAAACACAGTAACCTCTACACAAAAAGAAAGTATGAACACATATACCTTGAGTAGAAGATGATGGAGACATTTTGGTTCTCTTATCTCGAAAGAAAGTTATGCAAGTAATGTCACACACACCAAACTTGATAACCTAACTTCAACAAAAAAAAACAAATACATACCTTCCAAGTAAAAAACACAATCTCTGTCATGGAGAAAAAAGCCGAAAGCCACATACCCCTCGTTCCCTACAAGAACTTCAGCTAGACCACCCTTTCCAGCACTGCCAACAATGTAATATCAGCCCCAAGAAACTCTTTGGCGCTTTATAGCGAGCACCTTATCGGCGATGGCAAAAAACAAGAGGACGATGAAAAGCCTTTAGGTAGAGCATGCCCAAGCAACTGTAAAGGCAGCAAACGCATTGACGACTAAAAATCTGTGGCTAGAGGATGCCCCAGCAACTGAAGAAGCACTCCAATGGCTTTTATTTGGATCGAGCAGCGGGGAACAAAAGGTCGCCGGCGACGCATCTACAACCGTCTAGCTCCCATTTGATCGGAATCCGGCGAAAGGGCGACTAAGGTAAGTTGAAGAGGGGAAAATATACAATTGCAGCGTTTAGACTGGGAGAAATCGGAAGGATTGTACGTCGAATTCAACCAGCACAGAGTTGCAGAGGGGCATTGATTGAGTGTTCCGATCAAGATTGCGAAAATCGAGCTTGAACCGATTGAGAAAAGCTGAATATGTTTAAAAAAAAATATTAATACAAAAAATTTATATCCCATTCAATTGATGTGTATTCAAATAAATCTAAAATTCTATTTTAATATATGTTTATTTATGCAGGAAAATAAAAATTAAATATACAAATAAATAAAACCATGTGATTTCTACGTAAATTAAATTTATTTTAGAATAATATTTATCTATATGTTATTAGTGATTTTGGTCATATAGATATAAAAAATTGATTTTAGGTATTAGATATGTAAAATACATAAAATTGGGTTATATGTACAAAAATGCCCATGAACGGAATGGTTTCTTGGAACCGGAGTCAGTCCCTTGAACCGACTGGTCTCATACAATTTTATAAACATTGGGTCCAATGCACTTCTTGAATCCGATTCTTTTGTGCTAATTCATCAAGATTTGATTTGTATAAATTTAAATCTTTTATAAATATTTAATTATTGAATAAACAAATTTAGAGGAGTTATAATTTTATTTATTTTTAATATTTTTGGACATGTATACAATTTTAATATTTTTGGACAACAAAAATACTCATTTATATTTTTTTGAAATGATGTAGCTCATTAAAAAATAGAGAAAATGTGTGGCAAATTTTTGATATATTTTGATAATGAAATTAATCTCACCCAAAAATAGAGTGCAATTGATAAGTCATAAACATATTTCATCACCTGGCATAAATCTTAAAGCATAACACAAATCACATGATTATTTTGAGTTATGGCCATTCAAACTTCGCTTGAAACTCGTCTATAAATATAATTTCTACAAACTTATAGTCAAATTTACCAACTCGACATGTAACCGAGAGGTGGGACCCAACGACGCCGAGATTGAGCCTACAAGTTAAATCAGACACATATCAATCTGTTAAACCATTTTGGAAACTTCCAGTTCACAGTTGAAAGATAAAATAAATTCCAAATCTAACAAGTTGTTGTTCAGATCGAGCGTTAGAAAGAGATGTTTACTGAGCTTAAGATAACTCAATTTTGATATCATTAAAGTGCTTAAATGTCCACCAAGCATTGCATGATCGAGAGAATCTCTCCGGATCATTCAATTGAGTGGTTCAAAATCCTTCTTGATTTGTAAGGAGACCTCTCCTAAACTTTATAAATAAAATCCTACCCCTTTTATAAAAAGACACCAGGCTTTGAACTAGAAGAAGAGCTGGACATGAAGTCGGTTCATGAAGTAAGAGTTGAATTTTGGTGACTCTTTAGTTTGAAGGCCCAACAAAATATTTCCTGCTCTTGTAGTTGTATGCCATCGTAGTTCATCATTCACCTACATCGTTGAACATTGTTGACAGCTCCTTGCTCATTATAGTGAAATTCGTGTAGAATCTCAGGCGTGTGTTGCAGAGTAATGAAAAGTTATGCAGAGTAACCATCAACGTTGCTAAGTAACTAAACTTCTTACGAAACAATTTATTGTTACTGAGCACAATGTAGTGACACACTCTAGAGACCATATACCAAGCTCCTAACAACTAATCTCAACTGCGACTACTCCCGACAGCTACAAAATAATTATTTCGGCCTATGAACATTGTACTTCAAAAAACTGTGCAATCATTTCTCATATATGGGCCAAGGGTCTAAATGTGTAATCACTAACTCGTAGCTGATCATTTCCGTCGGACTATGCTCCATGATTTTTTTTTTCTTTCGATTTTTAACGTAAAACTTTATGGTGTCTCAACCTGTCACGTTAATTACTCGAATGAGTGCAAGAAATTTTTGCAGTCTCAAGACGTAAAATAATCACTCTACTGTCGTGAATCTCCTGCTACATCATAACAAAATGATCTACAATACTTATGTGATTGAGTTCATAACAAATATTCCGATAATATCATTCAAAAAGTATATGTATGTGTGCACATACACATAATTTATTTTTTCTTCTTTTTTATCTCTTTTTTAAAAAAAGGTATATGTGTGTGTTCTCACAAATGATTGTACGCATGTGTATGAGAAGACTGTGCAGCTCAGTTAGCCTGGCTCCTCCCTTTTCTGAAAAAATATCACGTTTGGTGTCCGGACGTAGCATAGGCAATAGGATTCAGACTCCGGACTCAATAGTTTCATTCTCTTTTTCGGACTGCCCCACATTCGAACCTCCTTTTCATATACAAATCCTTATTTTGTCGGTAGGCCGAGTCCGAGTCTTTGACGGTTGGAACGGGCCTAAATGTTGTGGCTCAATGGGCTGAAGATCGGGCGAGATCAGGCCGGAAGGCGGTGGCAATGGCCGCAGCAGTTGCCCGCGGCACTGAAGATGTGTCCCGAAGCTTTTTAATAGTAAAGTTGGAGGAGGCCACTGAGAATACCTGAACCAAAATAATATATGGTTGAAATATACTTAAATCTAACAAATTTTAAATATATTAAAAATAAATTTCAAAATATAATAATTTTACACTGCATTTAAAATTTATTTTGACCGAATAAAAATATCTAAAATTTTATTAAATAATTATAATACAATTTTGTTGCAGCAAACCAAACTCATCTGATTTTTTCCCCCTACAGCGATGTGATCGTGTTAAAGAAGGCTGCATCCCCTAACTCGCATTAAACGCCATTAAATGCTAATTATTGCTCTTCAATTCCCATGCCTTCGAAAAAGACATTCTGCTTTACAAAGAGACGATCGTTCATATAATTAGACTCCAAAAATATCGCAATTTTACAGTTCGTTGCTGCTTCTCCCCACCAAACCTAAATGTTTGGGACATTTACATATATACCACCTAATTTTTATTTATTATGATCTAATTCCTGAATTTTATTTTAAGGTTATACCACCTAAATCTTTTTTATTACATGGTAAAATGTCACCATTTGGCTTTTAAAATATGAAATACACATTTGCATGCATGGGTAGGTATTAAGTGACATATATGTAGAAATTGAAATTTAGACAATTAAATATATAAATAGATAGGAATTGAGTGGGTTGTTTGTAAACTAGTTGAGCAAATTATATCTAATTTAAATTTGAGAGTGATTAATTAATAGAATTCGAGTTTGAATTCGATCAAAATTCTATGAGTTTGAGTTTGACTTGCCAGCTAATTTGTTCATCATTCAAAAAATTATAATTAAGAAAATTATTATAATAAAATTATAAATATATATATAAAGTAGAAGAAAAATAATTATAAATCAATGGATATAATAGAGTGGGATATGTAAAAGATTCTAAATATCATATTCGATTTACAAAATTAATTTTTAAATCGATTAGCGGAAACGAGATAGGATCATACATCCCCCCAGCCATAACTTAAATGAACATAGTGACACTCACAACTCACACGACAAATTTTCTGTTATAGATCTTCTAAGCTTTTCTCACTCACAACCCGATGGTGCAAATAAAATGAAGAGGAGCAAGCTTAGGGACCAAAACAACAAACATCACATCTAATTTATAGTACTATGCCCATCACAGAGTTCAATGGATGTGACCACATTATGGAATGTTACTAAATTCATGTGTTGAACTTAGACACTATATGAACCACATTCTGAAAATTATTTCTCTTAAAAACACCAAAGAATTCCAACGATTATTGAAATTAATATAGAGTTTTAATTAATTTGGGAATTCTAAAGAAATAAATTTAATTCCCATTATTAACTAATTTGGGAATCTTAAAGAAAAAATCCCAACATTCTCCCACTTGGTTCATATAGTTCAACACATATCATATAGAGAAACAAAATATATGAATCATGGCGATAGGTCCTCTTATAGTGAGTATTATCTTCCATGTATTACACTATATCA